TTTTAGAATAAGAATAATTAAGAATAAGAATAAGAATAATTTATTTCGTTAAAACACACAGTTTACATAAAAGAAAAGTAAGTCCAGATAAGTATTTAAGATTAAAAATTATTTGATTTCTTCTCTTCATTAACAACGGCCTCCGCACTAAGCACAGCTTGTATCGCGGAGACCTTAACAAATAATTACCAGGTATTTTATTAAAAGGTCCGGTCTCGGTCTGGACATAAAACATGGTTCTTACTATTAACAGAAGCTAAAATATGCATGCAAATAATAAAATTCAACATAAAAAGTAGAAAAAACACTATATGGTAAGTATATTTGTGTGTGTGTGTGTGTGTGTGTGTGTGTGTGTGTGTGTGTGTGTGTGTTAGTGTGTTAGTGTGTGAATGAGTGTGTGTGTGTGAATGAGTGTGTGTGTGTGTATGTGTGTGTGTGAATGAGTGTGTGTGTGTTATGATCTCCGTATATCAGCCACATGCATTTGGAAGGATGTTCTCTAATTGGTCATAGTCCAAGGAACGCAGCCATATCTCGGTCTCGCGTTTTACTTTAGAAGTTGGTGAATCCTTCAGTAGTGGGAAAATACGACATATGGCATTATAAATAAAAGGGTGTGTATAAGAGGGTAAACGTTGCGCGAAAGAAGTTCGTACTGGAGGTATCGGTACCCTAAAACCATATATCTCCGAAACTATACGCTTTACGACTTTTTATCTAAGGACACTAGTTTGTATTTTTATGCTTCATCGATTGCGATATGTTTCAACTCTGGCCATGAAATGAGTTTCTTTTTTGTTTCATGGTCACTCACTATGCCAACCATGTCGGTAGCACATTGAGTGTTATTGGATTCTATTAATTATAATGAAAGCTTGTAATGTTTTTGAGTTGATTTTGTAAGCTATCATTATATGTTTTTTTTTACCTGGTGCAATTCTGGTTTGAACAGCGCCGGGTCGTAAGTGGCGCCATCTTCCGTCTGTGCAATCTTCGGTGCGGTGCCGTTGGCAACCATATTGACCGACTCTGCTAGTGCTATGATACCTGTTAATTAACGTTATTAATATTTATATACGGTTACATTTAATCAAGTACAAATCTCTTGATGCCCGATAGCGGTTTCACCTGATGCAACTAATTATACCGCGGGAAACAGGCATTTTCTCGGCATGTGTCCTTACTCTACTTGTAAACCTTTCTTTTGAATCACTCTATCTATAACAAAAAAACCGAATCAAAATCTGTTGCAAAAAACCGAATCAATTTCCCTTGTGCTAGCAAAGTAGCAGTTTTTTAGGGTCTTATGTTTTTGGCCCCGCGGCCATTAAAACTGGGCCGGTCGGCTTTGTGGGAAGCGAAAATATTTGTAGGGTTGTTCAAACAAGCATTGCCCAATCATGCCTTTGGGGTGGGCTAAGAAATACCGGTAATTACCAAAGAAAGTCATAAATGAGACATAAGGCAAATCATCGCCCCTTGTACCAAGACCACAGAATACTTAATACAAGACTACCAAATAATAGTCTGCAATATGTTGTGACTTCCCCCCCTCCTCAACATCTGAAACTGTAAAAATCATTGTTCTTCCCATGGTATAATAAGATACTCCGCCTGGTATTTCTTTCCGAGACTCGTGAACCACGTGACCAACACAAGACTACGTCATCATGCTTGTGGGTTACCAGAATTACCCACTCTTATGATGTTTTTTGTAAATCATATAAGATACTGTTAACTAATAAATAAAATTTAAGTGTTGCTGTAAAGTTAAAGTTAATACACACGTAAATCTAAATTATAAAATTATTAAGAAATATTTTAACCCATTGTTCTGAGATTGAATTTACCCCATAACGTATTTTATTGAAATAAAGTGGCAATACTAAGTGACGTTGACTTGTGTTTCTCTGGGAAGGAAAGACCATGTTTTATTAGACTATGGTTCTTCCTGATAATTCTCTATATCTTACCTTCAGGGTACAGGTATTTGTTGTAGATGGTGTCGACCGTGTCATCTATCGTGACTGGGAACTTTCTCTGCATCAAAATCGGTCCAGTGTCCAGACCTTAGTCCAGACCAATAATTCTCTATTTCTTAGTGTCCAGACCAATAATCCTCTATATCTTACCTTCAGGGTACAGGTATTTGTTGTAGATGCTGTCGACGGTGTCATCTATAGTGACTGGGAACTTTCTCTGCATCAAAATCGGTCCAGTGTCCAGACCAATAATCCTCTATATCTTACCTTCGGGGTACAGGTATTTGTTGTAGACGCTGTCGACCGTGTCATCTAACGTGAACTGCATCAGGATCGGTCGAGTGTCCGACCGTGTCGATGATAAGTTTCTAATAAAATTTGTTCAGTTTGTGATTACCGGTAATTACCATAGAATGGCACAAATGAGGTATAAGGTAGTTCATCGCCTCTTGTATCAAAAAATCAGTGCAAGAAATAGTGAGCAATATATGTGGTGATCCGCTTTCTCCTCATCATTTGAAACTGTAAAAATTAGCGCTCTTCCTGATACTACCTGATTCATAGAAGAAAGGGACCTGGCAATATTATTGTTGACATCCTGCTCAAATGTCAATAATGGTCCCTTTCTCTTATGAATTAGGTCATAATCCTCTATATCTTACCTTCAGGGTACAGGTATTTGTTGTAGATGGTGTCGACTAGAGATGAAACGGATAGTTGTTTGGCCGGATACCGGATACCGGATATCCGGCCACCATGAAAGCCGGATAGCCGGATATCCGGCGGCCGGATATTCGGCCGAACTTTGCCACTTCGTGAAGTGCTCACGATGCGAAGAAAACACTGTTTTCAGAAGCTGGTCTCTATGAAGAATTGCGCAATCGTTGGTTACCTGCCAATTCAGACTAATGCGGGGTAGGCAGAGCGTAAACGGCTGTACAAAACTGCCACTTACATCACGTCTGACAAAAGTTTGAGAGTCACACAGAAGGCTGCGCATCACCATAGTGAAAGGTTGTCAGCCTGTGGCCTAAAATTGCAATACACATTCATTCTCAAAATCCCTTGGTCGTTTCTTACGACACCGACGGGAAAGATATGGGGTAATGCTATTCTACGCCGGCACCACACGGCCAACTTTGTTATAATAGTTAACATTTCGTCATGTATATAACTGTGGTGTGAGTTTATATTATTACCTAAATTAGACAGAAAATCTTTGCTTTGTCTAATAGAATATCATTGGTTTGAAATTGCGTCTTGAAAAATAAAATGCAAAGTTGGGGCACCCATTTTTTCAGCACAATTACTTTTTTTTAATCAACTATGGTTAAAAAATTGTTATTTCATATCTAATCAACGTGAGACAGTTAATTTTCCTGTAAAATGTTAGTTTAATTTAGCTATGCTGTATACATTTTGATAAAATTGTTGTATATTTTTAGTATCCGGTATCCGGCCGGATAGTCGCCTAATATCCGGTATCCGGCCGGATAGCCAAAACATGGCCGGATAGGCCGGATACCGGATAGTTGCCGGATATCCGTTTCATCTCTAGTGTCGACCGTGTCATCTATTGTGACTGGGAACTTTCTCTGCATCAGGATCGGTCCAGTGTCCAGACCAATAATCCTCTATATCGACTGGCCCGTTGGCGTAGTGGATAGTACCCCTGCCTTCTACGCCGAGGGTAGTGGGTTCGATTCCCACCGGACACAAATATTTGTTAAATCAATTTTCAAGTATTTGTGTTTAGTCTGGGTGTTTTCTATGTATGTTAATGTATGTATTTATTAACAAAAAAAGTATTTGAGTAGTATATCAGTTGTCTAGCTCCCCTAGTACAAGCTTTCCTTAGTTTAGGGCTAGATGGCGCTGTGTGTCTCGTCCAGGGATATTTTATTATCTTACCTTCGGGGTACAGATATTTGTTGTAGATGCTGTCGACCGTGTCATCTATAGTGACTGGGAACTTTCTCTGCATCAAAATCGGTCCAGTGTCCAGACCAATAATCCTCTATATCTTACCTTCAGGGTACAGGTATTTGTTGTAGATGGTGTCGACCGTGTCATCTATTGTGACTGGGAACTTTCTCTGCACCAGGATCGGTCCAGTGTCCAGACCAATAATCCTCTATATCTTACCTTCAGGGTACAGGTATTTGTTGTAAATGCTGTCGACCGTGTCATCTACAGAGTGTAAAAAAATCAACTGCAAATATTTTAAGGGGTGAACCAGCCCATGAAACTGAACAACTTTCCCCAAGGAACATAGGTCGAAATATGAAAAAAAAATTGGTCCTCCCATACAAAATGTACCAGCCGACCAAGACAATTTGTATGGGAGGGCCAATTTTTTTTTCTCATTTTGACCTATGTTCCTTGGGGAAAGTTGTTCAGTTTCATGGGCTCGTTCACCCCTTAAAATATTTGCAGTTGATTTTTTTACACCTTATATAGTGACTGGGAACTTTCTCTGCATAAGGATCGGTCCAGTGTCCAGACCTTAGACCAATAATTCTCTATATCTTACCTTCAGGGTACAGGTATTTGTTGTATATGCTGTCGACCGTGTCATCTATCGTGACTGGGAACTTTCTCTGCATCAAAATCGGTCCAGTGTCCAGACCAATAATCCTCTATATCTTACCTTCAGGGTACAGGTATTTGTTGTAAATGCTGTCGACCGTGTCATCTATAGTGACTGGGAACTATCTCTGCATCAAAATCGGTCCAGTGTCCAGACCAATAATTCTCTATATCTTACTAGTTCGAAATTACTATCTTGTGGAAAAATTTCTACAAAATAGTAAACATTCACCAATCTCTCGTTAACTTGTACATACGTAATGTTGTCAGTTGAGTGACTGTCAATAGTTCCATGGAACTAATCTCAATGGAACTACTGCGAATGATTATATTGTTCTACTAAAAAGTCATATACGGCGCTAAAGCTACTCGTAACAAAAAATATGAATGTAGCAAGTGGTTCACAACTTCGCCGCCAGGGTTAGAGCTACCGTGGTGTAACGGAAACACGTCTGACCCGGCTTGTCAGAAGACGTGGGTACGAATCCCATCAATGGCGTGAATTTCTTCCACTTGCTTCGTTTGTATATTAACTTTGTAAACGAAAAAGTTAATATCTATAACTTTTCCTCGGGGTACAGATATTTGTTGTAGATGCTGTCGACCGTGTCATCTATAGTGACTGGGAACTTTCTCTGCATCAAAATCGGTCCAGTGTCCAGACCAATAATCCTCTATATCTTACCTTCAGGGTACAGGTATTTGTTGTATTTGCTGTCGACCGTGTCATCTATAGTGACTGGGAACTTTCTCTGCATCAAAATCGGTCCAGTGTCCAGACCAATAATCCTCTATATCTTAGTGTTCAAACCGATAATCCTCTATATCTTACCTTCAGGGTACAGATATTTGTTGTAGATGCTGTCGACCGTGTCATCTATCGTGACCGGGAACTTTCTCTGCATCAGGATCGGTCCAGTGTCCAGACCAATAACTCTCTATATCTTACCTTCGGGGTACAGGTATTTGTTGTAAATGCTGTCGACCGTGTCATCTAGAACTTTCTCTGCATCAAAATCGGTCCAGTGTCCAGACCAATAACTCTCTATATCTTACCTTCGGGGTACAGGTATTTGTTGTAAATGCTGTCGACCGTGTCATCTAGAACTTTCTCTGCATCAAAATCGGTCCAGTGTCCAGACCAATAACTATCTATATCTTACCTTCAGGGTACAGGTATTTGTTGTAAATGCTGTCGACCGTGTCATCTAGAACTTTCTCTGCATCAAAATCGGTCCAGTGTCCAGACCAATAACTCTCTATATCTTACCTTCGGGGTACAGGTATTTGTTGTAAATGCTGTCGACCGTGTCATCTAGAACTTTCTCTGCATCAAAATCGGTCCAGTGTCCAGACCAATAACTCTCTATATCTTACCTTCAGGGTACAGGTATTTGTTGTAGATACTGTCGACCGTGTCATCTATAGTGACTGGGAACTTTCTTTGCATCAAAATCGGTCCAGTGTCCAGACCAATAATCCTCTATATCTTACCTTCGGGGTACAGAAATTTGTTGTAAATGCTGTCGACCGTGTCATCTATAGTGACTGGGAACTTTCTCTGCATCAAGATCGGTCCAGTGTCCAGACCAATAATCCTCTATATCTCAGTGTCCAGACCAATAATCCTCTATATCTTACCTTCAGGGTACAGGTATTTGTTGTAAATGCTGTCGACCGTGTCATCTATAGTGACTGGGAACTTTCTCTGCATCAAAATCGGTCCAGTGTCCAGGCCGTCGTCCGCCCAGAAGATAGACAGACCGCACTCTGTGTCGCCCTCTATCAGGGTCCTGGAAGTAAAGGTTTTTCGTAAAGGGTCTGGTTGTCGGCATTAAGTTTCCGAGATATTTGCATTTTATTGGGATTTTAATGCACTCACAGTGCTATATTATTCTCATAAATTGAAAATGAGGAAATTGAAAAACTCATTAGCGACCGCCGGGACTTCAAGAGGTTGAGAAATTCATCCATCAGGGTCCGCTAGGCGCCCGTAGTTCAGTTGGCAGAGCGGTGGGACGGTACCTCACAGTCACGGGTTCAAGTCCCGGCGGTCGCTAATGAATTTTTCACCTATCTCATTTTCTATTTGCATTTTCATAAAGGTGGGGTTTTCTAAGTAATATAAAAAAGTTGAGACATATCATATTGCTTTTGGTAGTCGGTGTAAAAGAGTCTTTTTTAAATTCCGAATCTGGTATTATCCCAATACCAATCTATTGGACCTTTGTAACAAATTAGGGAGACAACGCGCGTGTGCCTCCGACGATATAATTTGCATTGTATTTTCAGAGTATCTTTGGATATCTAGTACAAAACAAAAGGGTTGGTCTTCTTCTTCTTCGAGAGGAACACCAAGTCATCCAACAATCCGATAAACCCAGGTGTCAACATTTTTTCAACCGCCTACTGCAAGTAGCAGGCCTCTGACATGGTTTGTAACGACCGCCGTCTAAGATCATAGACAGCACCCGGAAGGGTTGGTAAAATATAGTTTATGGTAGTCGCGTAGGGATGCCACCCACCAGTTAATAGACGAAGCTCCTCGATGCCTGGGCAGGATGCTGGGGTGGTAGCAGATGCTCTCGTATTTCGGGTGCGTGATAACTTCCATAGGGATAAATTGTGTGCAGAACGGTAACACGTTTATGTCGGCTTTTACCTGTAACGGGAAATTGCAAGGGCCATTTTATAATTGCCTAATGGGGAGGAAAACGCAAAATTTACCGCAGTTGGGAGCAGGCTAAGGCCTGTATTTAATTTGATTAGTGTGAGTGTAGGCAGGTGATTGATCAGTAAAGTGTAAGAAAGAGGCTACTCGAAGTTCACTCGCAAAAAATAAAACATGCTTCTATTTCTTCTACTTCGCAGCCTACTAAACACTTGCACTAATCACCTGCATTAAACACTTAACAAAGTGAATTCAGGCTTTTACATGCGTCAAGAAAGTCACGCAACTTTGACATCTGGGATCTCCGAGCTACGCAGTTTTTCCGTACTGTTTAGGAGGGATTGGGAGGGTCATGTCATGCCCTTCATGATAGTTATACCGGGAGTAACGGAAAGGCTATAACAAGCCGAAAGGAGGTCAAGGTACTCATGAAACTGAACAACTTTCCCCATGGAACATGGGTCGAAATATGAAAAAAAAATTGGACCTCCCATACAAAATCGCCGATGAGCTAATTGATTTACTATGGGAGGTCCAAATTTATTTTTCATTTTTCGACCCATGTTCCATGGGGAAAGTTGTTCAGTTTCATGAGTACCTTGACCTCCTTTCGGCTTGTTATACCCTTTCTGTTACTCCCTGTATAAGGTTACTTTTAATTAAGTACAAATATTTTAAGGACGTGTTCTCCTCGCTAACTTAAACAACTTTTAAGAAACTTTTAATCGATATATGAAAAAAAATAGCCGTACTAAGTGACGAACTTTTTTCACACGTTAGTATGGAAAGTCCAAATATTTTTTTGATATTAACTTTTTGGTTGGCAAATATTGCAAATATTGCAAGTACTTGGGTGCCTCCTAACGCGAAACGGGCTCGCGGTCGACCACGAAAACGATGGAGAGACGAACTAGATGCCCACGCCAAAAACTGGATGGAGGTGGCCCAAGACAGGGAAAAATGGAAGAAAGGGAGGGAGGCCTTTGCCCTGCAGTGGGACACTTCAGGCTTATAATAATAATAATAATAACTTTTTGGTTACAAAGTTAATACAAATTCGAACCCACGTCTTCTGACAATTCTGATAATTTTTGATATTTCAAAGAAAAGTTTCTAATAAAACTTGTTAAGTTTTATGAAAGATCCAGATGCTAGTTATCTATCAGACAACCTCAGACAGGCAATATGATCACTTGCGCAAGTGATCAATTAACTTGATCCAGTTTGGAAACTGATATGGAAAATCAACTTTCATAATATCGAGTCTAATATCGGGGTGTGAATGACCTGCTTCCTATTTTGCCGGAACCTACAAGGAATTTTACTATAAACCTAGCTTACATACACTTCTCGTCAGAAAAATTGACACTTAGCAAGTTTACGTTTTGTAGGTATCACATCATCTGTGACATACCTACCTATGTTTATTTTGGAATTAATGTCTAATGTAGTGCAATAGTGAGTATTACGATGTTTCAAAATCCTAAGTTCGATTTTCTACAATCATATTTTGTTTGACTATGAAAACGAAAGTGCCTCGATTTTTTTGATGAGGAGTACATTCATTTATCTGTACCAAGTCGCCTATACGTACACCAAAGCTTAACAAACAGTGACGGTTTTTTAAATTGAGTCTTTTAATTTGAAATAGGTAGTGTTTCTAGTAATTGATCGTAGTTTCAGTTAAGTGGCTGACTTTAAAATACTCGTATGCGTAGTTAGTCAATTAGTTTTTTATCGCTTGATCAAATAGAAAAAAGTTTTACTTGAGTGTTTTCGGTTGGGGTATGTAAATACTATCTATCATTTAGAGGACAAAATGGACTAAGAATTTATCTGGTCCCACGTGTATCATATCATGACTGCGTAAATAAGGTGACCCTCATACCACCATCATGGTGATATTGCCGTTCTGATAGTTTCTGATAAACTAGGGTCATTTCGCTTGACCATGGACATCAAGCGTGAAGATATGGTCTGCCAAAATAACATGAAACGTTATGTAATTCATGTTATGAGCAAATTTAGGGTCGTTTCGGTTGACCAAGGACAGCACGCGTAAAGATATGCTTTGCCAAAATAACATGAAACGTTATGCAATTTATTTTCTGTGTAGAACATTTTACAATATGGGAAGATTTAGCAGTTATATAAATTATAATAACTGGCAGTAAAAAGTTTAGGGCACACCCGCACACTTAAAATTTACGGCAAAGCCTTCTTTTGTTGGACCTTGGACGGTTCTGCCTTACTCACCAAGCTTGGCAGGCGGGGTGGCAAGCGCAGTGCAATACGTTGCATTCATAAATAGGGAACGGTGATATCCGTTACCGGGTAATGCTATTCTAAGCCGGTAAAGTTTATTTTTAGCGGCGTCAGAGTTACAGAAAACATAGATAACAGGCATAAGATATTAAAATAAAGCTGAATCATGCTCACAATTAATTTGGCGCACGAATTAAAAATGTGATAAGACCACGTCAAAACAACAACATTCATTTTAGCATACGTATAGGGTAAAATTTCAGTAGTAACCGATAGCAAAACCTCAAAACCGGCTGGTAGAAAGTTGTTCCTTATCACCAGCTAGTTCTTAGATTTCGCTATCGGTCACTAATAAAATTTCATACAGTACCTATTACTAGAGTGTAAGAGATTTTGTTATCGTAAAAACTTTTTAGGAATCGAGAGCTCCGTGAGTCGCCAAGCTACCCAAGCTACAAAGTCGCCTGTATAAGCGGGTTCTTTGCAAATATTATTATTTTATCATATTAGATAACTATGACTTGGTTCACAAAGTTCTTTTTATTTATGTTTATGTCATAAAT